TGTGTGTGTGTGTGTGTGTGTGTGTGTGTGTGTGTGTGTGTGTGTGTATCACTGGACAGAATCTAAGTGCATGTACTCAAGGACTAATTCTCTGTTAATGTTTTAGGGGTTATTAAATTTGAATGAAAGTTTTTGTTTGAATGCTCAGTCTGACTCAGAATCCACACAATTATTTTCTCATTATTTTATTTTCCTGTACAACTTTTTCAACGTACTATTGGATACTTTGTTCTAGTTTAGCCATTCACAAGTCAAAATGTTTAGCTCTTTCAGGAGATGGATGCTATGACTTTTTTTTTTTTTTTTGTATAATTTTTCTACTTGTTAAACTATTTAACATTATAAAAATAATTTCCTTTTAAAACGACATCAATATATTTTTCTAACACTCAAAAATGTTTAAGAAAATTATATTAAAACATTCAAAAACATTGTTTTCCTTGAACTTTGCTAAAGGAAACAATCTATGTTTGGATTCTTGCACCACTTTAAATTTTTAGCTATTGTCTGTTCTTATTTAAGCCTTTTGCTATTTTTAGCTTTTAGCCACATAAAGCTTTTAGCCAGCCTTTTGCTAGAGCAAAGCTAAATAGAAAAAGGCAAACTGCAGATAAAACCACATCTCACTTCTATTTAGTTTTTTTTAATGTAAAACTTTGTTGAAGTTTATTCTTGCTCTGATGTGTGACACACAAAATGATCTAGTTTCTGCTAAAATGTCAGAAAAGATGACCTGCAGCCACTGCTACTTCTCTTAAACAAAGCTGCTGTTCATATACAAACTACATTTTGGGTCTAAACAGGCTGTAAATATTCACAGAGCCTTTAATTGCACATGAGCGTGTTCCTTTCAGAGTTATGAACTGTTCCTGATTGACCGGGCAAAAGCACACAGAGCTCATTAAAACCACTTACTGAGGGAGGAAGGAAAAGAAAGGCGAAGGAAACAGTTTAACGAGAGAGACAGGAGACGGCGTGTGATGGCAAAATAAATCTTTGCAACGTTTAATAAAAAGCAAAACCTTCAGGAAATGAAAGATCGTTTTATTTTTCAAACATAGAAGTGAACTCAACCTCTACAGCTACAGTACATGACAGTTTTTATGGCTATGCATCACTACTAAGAGAAAACCATATCGTCCCATGTCCAGGATACTTGCTTTGACGAATGAAAATTTACATGATTAAGACCTAAAATTACTTTGAACAATGTTTAAATCTGGCCTAAATTAAAATAAAAAAAAAGGGTTTGGCTGCAAAATTTGGATCAAGATGCTTTTATATATACTGTATTCCCAACCCAATGTGAGGTAAATGGACTATACTTATATAGCACCTTTCTATTTTATCAAGACACTCAAAGCTCTTTACAACACAATCTGTGCCTTCACTTACCCATCCATACAGCACTCTGCTAGATCTATACAAAGATTAATCAGTGCTTTATCACATTCATACACTGATGGGACACACATCGGAGACGATGAGGAGTTCAGTGTCTTGCCCAGGACTTTGGCATGTGACTGCGGGTGGAATCGAACCCCCAACTCTTGCATTGGAGGGCAACTGCTCTAACCATTCAGCCACAGCCGCCCCAAAGGTTTCCACTTGCATCAAAGCCCAATTGATTCTTAGATGAGATCACAGAAAGCTAGAAATATTAAAAAGAGGCAGACAGCCACCACACAGATATATTTTGGATTATGTGGCGAGCACATTTTTACATATTCAGATCCGGATGTACAGAAACAATGTCTTAAATTTCTGTTTCAGACTAAACCGCTAAAGAGGGCACGGACGTCAAGATGCTTTGGAGATCATGTGTTTGAGTTTTTTACGTGTGGGGATAATTGTTGTTACTGACATTATTTAGTGCATCTCAATTTGCAAAATCAGCAGCACATAAGCTGCTTTTCCTGTCTTGGATGAGAACTAAATATTTCTAGACATCAAGTGTCCGTGCAAACCAGGAGGTTTGGTAAAAAAATAAAAGAGCTGGAGACATTAGAGACCTGCCGGAGACATTTTAATAACAGGCTGCTTGTATTTGTGCATGTTGGCAGATTTAACAATAATCTTTGAAAACCAGACTCTTCGTCCGCCTGATTGTCTTTGAAGTCTTCTTGCTGGAAAAAATAAAAATGCCTTGAAAAGGAAAATTAAAACGTGCAAAGGATATTTTTGGTAATTCTTTAAACGTTGAACAAAACATTAATGTTTTTAACCCCAAAACATGCAAACTTAGATTAATTTTTTAAAAACTAGCTTTAGAGTGTGCGTGTGCAAACAGCTATACGTGTGCCTTTGGGTTCGTCAGCTCTCACCTTATCCATCACTCCCAGTGGTTTATGGGAGCCCAGTGGGGAGCCACATCAGTCTCCCTTTGATGATGACACATGTGATTTATGGCTTTTTAGCGACGGTTTGTTTTCATTACGCCTCCTTGTCAGCTGTAGCACAGTTTCATGCAGAGCAAGCAAATCTTGACCATTTCAAAAGGACACTTATTTATTATTTTTCTTTTATTTATTTATTTTTTCAAACCAGTTTCCAGAAAAGTTTGATTTGTTTATGAGGGAATAACTGCACACAGCTTCTACATTTTCCACCTTTGGTTGGGTTCGATGGCGGCGAGGGATTCATGAATTTCTGAGGTTTTGGAATTTGTTTCAAGACAAAAGTTCTCGTTTTTCTTTTCCTGTTCTGACTTTCTTTCAACTCTGCTTTTTTTTTTAACATTTAAATTATTATTATTATTTAATAATATGCACAATTATCCAATGCAGCATGAAGGTAGAAAAAAGTTAGATACAAATATTTCATGTAAAGTTTATGTTTGCATACCTTTGATGGGGCTGGTGCACAACTTGACTGCATGCGATGATGTTCAGAACCTAAAGCTGATGAGTCAGATGAAAGGAGGGTCCAGCAGATTTATTACGACACTGCGTTTTTAACCACAAACTCATTTTTCTGACCTCTACTGAGATAAATGCAAACATGAATCAAACTTTAACACACTTTGAGGAGTCTCAGAGTGAATTTCCACAAGATGATCACTCATAATGGCTTCTGGCAAAGTTAAAACAACGGGATAGCAATAGTTACATCTAACTTGTGGATTGACAAAAACAACAGCAACACTTCAAAAATGAACTTTTGATTTGTATAAATGCTTCCCTGCTGAAGTTGTTGGACCACTCAGACCCTGCTAGTGACCAGCGGACATGGTTGCCCAGGCCCCTTCCATCCTCCACACAGAGAAGGCGTAGCTCAGCCTCTCATGGGCCAGATAGTTACATCCTGCAAGCTTGCTGTCCAGCTCGTTACTCTCCAGAACCTGGTAGAGAAAGTCGATGTAGCGCGAGGCCAGTTTAAGAGTCTGAATCTTGCTCAGTTTGTCTGATGGAAGCGTTGGGATTATCTTGCGCAGCGAAGCGAAAGCGTCGTTCAGGGACTGCGTTCTCTGGCGTTCGCGGATGTTGGCTATGGCCCGTTGTGCGTGTGGATCCTCAAAGGCGGGGGTTCCTCCGGGACTTTGACCAGGAACAGGAGAAAGGGACAGACCAGAGGAAGGTGGTCCATGTTGAGGGCTCTTTTTGAGCTTCTTGGGTCCTGTTTGTGTGTAAATGTGAACGTCATCCCCTGGCTTGACTACGTTGGCGGTTGTTGTGGTAGTAGGGGTGATCGTGGTACGGTTGTCCTCCACATGCGAGCTCGTTTGATGCTTACGCTTGGTGATACCTGGTGTTGCTACGACAACAGGGCAAGCATTAAACAGAGGTGTCTCTTTGCTGGAAACCACTCTTCCCTTAGGGAACCCATCATCACAGAGCTCCTCCTCTCTCATGCTTAGTCACACTTTTCCTGTCCGTTATCAAACTGTGTCCCTCGCTCGTGAGCGTCTCCAGATTTCTTTGATGTGTCTCTTCGCGTCGCCGTTGCGTTTCCTCGTGAACTTTTCTCCTGCTTCGTTCTTCTCTGGGAGTCCTCTGGTTTTCTGCTTTGTCGTAGTTCTTTCAGCTGCAGCTTCGCCCTCCGTCAAACGAGCTGAAATGGAACAAGAATCAGCACCGAGAGGAAACTTTTATCCCCACACATGGAAACCTGTTAGAGATCGTTTCCAGTCTTTGTGAGTACACACTACACTGGCAACCATGACTGTTGTTGTGTCCTGTTCCTGTGGCAGCATGTGAAACAACAGCAAACTGAGTGGATTTTTAAAGGGGAGGCAACTGTGAGGCTCCCAGCTGCCCTCCCACCTGGTTCACCGATTGGCTTGAAAGGCATTTTGAGACAGCTGAGCTCAAGAATGGAAGAAGAATGAATTCTGAACGATTGGTCTAACTGAAGCGGCGAGGTGGAGACAAGTTCTGAGGCACAGCCAATCAAACCTGACCATTGTGACGTCCGTTTCTTGTCCGAGAAGTTGCTCAGTTTATAGGTTCCAGATTTCCTTCAAAGCAAAGCCTCCCCCCCCCCCCCCCCCCACACACACACACACACTCACCCCCTGGCTGAGTGGTTAGTCTTCGTCACTGGTTAGATTTCCAAATATCTTTGCGGCCAAAGCTCAAAAGTAGAAAAAAATGTTCATCTAAATTAATTTGCATTTTCTTCCGACGTGGCGGATCTGTCAGTCGTATAAATGCTTAAACGTACTGATTTTGAATTTATAAATTACAATAGCTCGGGCAGTAACTCATTTATTACTTGCATTTCAAACATTTAAAACTATTAAAAATAAAGTCAGTCAACTGGAGCTGAACATATATTTTTCTTTACCATAAGTCAGCCTTTATAAAAAGCAGAGGGGGTTCTCGCATGCAAAACGAGAAAGACAATGTGTGCACTTTTAACTGGCTGTGATTTTGCTGTAGTTTCCAAAGACAGACTTGGAGAGAACAACGAGCTAACATTTCCAGCAGCTCTGCAGCTCCGAGGTGCTGAAAATCACGGGGGAGGTATGTGGGACATTTCAAACCTCATCCACTGAGCTGCATCTAGATGTCTCCTCTGTCCAGTCACAGCATGTACATCCAGCAGCCAAACCTCCACACAACAGCTAACTTTTATTTTTTTGTAGTTTGTTTCAGAGACACAAAGCATTTCTCTGAGACAAAAACAACAAAGTCAGTGTAGTTTTCTTTTAAGGCATAGTTTAGAGACAGAACTGGAAATTCACTGAACTTTCCTCTTGGAAAAAAAAAAAAAGAAACAATATTTTTTACGTTTCTGTGATGTAAATCTGTACTCTGGTCATTTCACATAGCTTCATTACCAGAACACTGGATGCACACTTGTTAATTATTAGGGAACAGCAACAGCAAAAGAACTATTAAATTATTCAATCATTTATTTATTGGGAGTGAGTGAGGACAATAAGGGTGATGTTTGTTTTCTCCATTCCAACAAAGTTCAGAGGCGTTATGTCCTTCATCCGAAGGACTTCATCAATCTGAGGAGCCACAAACAAACTGTTTCCCACTATCCAGATTGATCCTGATTGAATGGCTTGAGCGGACCAATTGCTCCTCACAGTTCCAGGAACTTGTCTTAAGTGCAGAGGTGACAGGGCCTTCTCTGTAGCAGGACCAAGACTTTGGAATGAGTTACCTCTGCTTGTCAGACAGGCCCCCCCCCTTTCGATTTTCAAATCCCATTTAAAAACTCACTACTATTCAGTAGCTTTCAACACCAGATGATCTGTGTTTTGAACCTGTACGCTCCACACTGGTTTGTCGTCATATTTATTATCTGCATCGATTTTATGTCTATATTTTTGATTTACTTCATTTTGTATATTGCTTCGTGTGTTGTCTGTTGTTCTGTCTGTCTGTACAGCACTTTGGTTGGCCTTGTAGCTGTTTTAAGTGCTCTATAAATAAAATGGTATGGTATGAATGTTGGATTATTTAACTGGATTATTGAGCATGAGCCTTGATATTTTCTCCATTCTTTACAACTCATCGACATCGTACTCATCTGCTCACACAGACTCATGTTCGTGCTGCTGTTGTTCGACACATTGTTTTTGTACTACTAGTGCTTAGCTTATTCTGGGTTCATACCTTCGATCTTGTTACTGTTTTTCTTTACAATTTATACTTTTGTTGGATGTAACTGGGACCATGTGTACACAATTTAGTTCCACCACATGTACCACATGTGGTGCGAATGATAATAAAGAACCTTGACCTTGACTTATTTGCTTATTTTGCACTTGTTAAAGCAGGTCCATTTACTGACCAACAACAACTTAATTAATGTAGTCACCCATTAATAATCAGAACTCATTCACTGAAGTAGAAAATGTTAAATACAGGGAATTATATAGCATAGCATCTAAATGAGAAAAACAAATTTGTCTTTGAAGTGTTATTACAAAAATAATTAATAAAAAAAAAAAGAACCACAATAATAACAATAACAGAGAATTTGGATAAAACTAGCTTGAAGAAGTAGTTTGTTGAATGAAAACTTAAGACTTGATTAAGCAATAAGAATCAATCTAAGAGCAATTCTCTTATTTCTAAAACCAAATAATTCTTGGGACAGAATTTTTTTTGTCTTATATGCTCAAAATTTAGACAAAGTTTAACATTTTGAAAAATAGATTACCGTATTTTCCGCCGTATACGTCGCGCTGCCATATAAGTCGCATCAGTCCAAATATGTCTAATAAAGTGGGAAAATACAAATGTACATAAATATGTCATTTTGCCATGTAAGTCGCATCTATTATGTGTCACTGCTGATGCGTCGCGTTTGCTACATGTCACCGCTGAACACCCAGAAACATGGGCCGGTGTTGTGCCAAAAATTGATTGGCTGTCAAATGGCGACCACGGGAGCGTGTACGGGAAGACTTTAACAAGAATTTAACAAGATTAGCATTTAAAAACAACTATTTGTTAGCTCAAAATTATAGTAAAGGTGTGTCTCAGTTGAACTTTTCCTTAATAAATGCACTTTAATGGTCAAATCAGCTGCATTTCACCTGGGTGGTGCGACGAAATGCAGCTGATTTGACGTTTGCTCCAGGAGTTCTGGAGCAAGCCAAGTGTCTCATTAATAGCCACTTTTACCTATTAGTGAGACACTTGACTTGCCATATTACTTGTGGGCCCTCTAGTGGCTTAAAATGGTAGTGTTAAATATTTCCATGTCAGAATGAATGAAATTGTCAGATCTCAGCCAAAAATAGGCTTATAAATACGAGGAAAAATAAGTAAATATGTTGCTTCACTGCACAGGCATGTTAATTTATGCAAAAAAAACCTGCGACTTATATGCTGGAAAATATGGTAATTTGAAATTTGGTTTAGAAATGTTACTGAATTTGATCAGATTAAGATTAACACTGCAAGCAAGGAAACACTATTTTATCAAGTTGCATCAGCTTCAGTGGCATAGACAGACCTAATATTGCATTGATGTCCTCACAAGATTCTTGGCCCCTTTTCTGAACATTAGACAATGATTTTGAACATTAAATGTTAGCATTTGGATATCTAAAACAAAATACATTCAGCAGTGAGATAACAGGAAGGTTATGAGCCATCAGTTTGCTGCATTGTTTCAGGACAAATCTCTTTAAAACATCCAGTCAGCTGAAAACACTTTAACAGCTGATTTCATGGTTCAACTCTGCCGTAAAACGCTGATGTAACACTTGTTTCTGTTTCAGGCAGGATAAAAACAGTGTGGAGGAGGTTTCACTTGGGCAGCTTTCACTCCAGGAAGACGCTTTTACCCGTCCAGTATGACTCAGCAGGAAAATATAATCTATTCAAACCATTCACATTTTGAGAAGTACCTGTCAGTACACATATATTTTTCTTTGCCTTCATTATATCTTACCTTTAATGAGGTGGAACCTATGGGACTGGGTTCAAGTACACTTCTGCAGAAAACTTTTTTTTTTTTTGCTGGAACAGCAGGAATCTGGACATTCAGGTTCTGGTTGAAGAGCATGAGCTGGAATGAAAGAGCTGACTCTGGGTGTCTTGTTTTAGATAAAGGGTGTTGCTTTACAGTAAAAAAAAAAAAAAAAAAAAGAAGAGAAAGGAACAAAATATTTTGTGCATTTGCACAAATTTCGCTTCATTCGAGATGTCTATAAAACCGGATAAATAAAAGCACGGTGAAGCGTTAAACATCTCACCATACTCCATCTTTTCCAAAACAAATATCACAAAATCAGATATGATGAGATTTAATGAATTTGTCTTGTGCTTTAGCAGAAATCATCTGAATATACTCATCTTTATCAGTTTTAATTGGAAGATTTCCGCCTGAGTTAAGTTAAAGATACGTGTCCAGCAAGGCAGAAAGATTTGCTGCATACCAGAGACACTTTCTCAGTGCACGTCACCAGCACCTCTTCTGCTTGGCTGTGTCCAAATGTGCTCAAGGGCTTTTACATAAATGACCAAAACAATGACGTTTAATGACCATGCGTTAAGAATAAGTGAAAAGACTGATGGCTAAGGAAGTTTATATTCAGATATGAGTCAGCAGCACAGACGTTCAGAATATAGTTTAAAGGCCTAAATTAAAAATAATAATAATAAAATAAAATAAAGGCCCATATTTCTAGATTCAGACTTACGTCAGAAAGCTTTTAAGAAGAAAAGTTTTGTTGCTTCTTTTACAAACGCAAGTACATTTGATGACATTAAGAAATGCTAGAGTTCACATTAGCGCTGGATTGAAATGAATAATAAAACAAGACAAAACCAAATTGGTTGATAATAAAACTGTCTCAAATGACTAAACATGGTCAAATAAACACAGAAAGCCTTCTGAGAGCACCAACGTAGTAAAAGTTTAAATCATTTTGACAGCTCCTTAGCTGACACCTGATTACTGTAATTTTCGGACTATAAGGACTTAAAATCCTTTAATTTTCTCAAAAATCAACAGTGAACCTTTCAATCCGGCGCATGTATTAATTCTGGTTGTGCTTACTGATCTCAAACCGATTTCATGTGTTACACGGAGCTCAAAAATCTGTCAAAACGTTTTAGTTTCACTTAATGCGCCTTATAGTCAGAAAAATACAATAATATATGGTGTTGGATTTTATGTGAAAAACTAGACCCAAATAAACACAAACACCCTGGAACCAGGTGGAAATTAGTTTTATGTACCCTAAAAACATAATAAAATAAAATAAAAATTATAACACTTC